TGTAGTGATTAAGGCAATAAAGTTTGAAATTAGAGCGTTGATTACTTGGGTCTCAAAATTTAGGTAGCTTACTAGTGGTATTTTTGAATGAAAATGGTCTAAATTGGCGTTTTCTATCTTGTCTTAATATCAAGTGATAAGTGATGGTAATATAAGTGTCAATTTAGAGCCGCAAGGTTTTCTTCACCATCATCTTTGCTGCGTAAATTTTAGGTCGGAAATAAATTTTTTCAGTTTACTACTAAAGAGGTAGACATAAAATAAATTACAGTCGCCTTTCAGCACGAATTCAACCTCATAATTGGAAGTATTGCGAGCTGCTAGTTACATAAAATTCATCAAGTGTTACATACAAAGAGTGTAACAAATGTTTGCTTTGTTTGAATGTAAATGGGCTGTTTCATTTAAGGATGTTTGAGCTTGATATGACTTTTGAAAACAAAATTCCGGGCTCTGCAGAACTCTCCATGAGTTCTTCTAAAATTCTTATCATCATCCGATAAAACTTTAGGTCATGTGGCATTTATTAGACTACTTGTTGTACATCGCTTTGTCCGTCACTATGCACAGCTCATATCAGTTTACCCCACCCAGATAGGATTGTAGAAACCTTACTGGTCAAGCAAATCAAATAAAATTGACCATGATGTTCTGAGAACTTCTGGGGGATTTTGGGATTTTCTAATCTGCTACTTTTTAAACGTATTGACATAAAGTTTTTAAGTTATTGTTCTAGACTTTTCTTTTGATTTTACTCTTTAATCACTTTTTTCCATCAATGTTCTCAGAGATCATATAAACATTTTGAGACAAAATTAGTGTATACACCATGTAGAACAAATAATGTTGGTCACCTCGGTGACATTTGGCATAAGATATTGACGCATCGGCATTGATTCTTCATCACCTCGCATGTTTCGGGGGATCATTGTTGTGCAACAACATTATCGAATTTCCATTATTTAACTGAAACTCATGCAGGGCATCCCAGATAGTTTAAAGGAATGCAGGTTGGGTGACACACTGCTTGCTCGCAACTGAAACCAGAATATAGTAAGTTGAAGCAAGCCAAATATCCCGTAACTAAAGTCTTAAAGAGTTCGCATATTTGCT